TCCCTACATTTAAATAGAATGATTTGCAAATGGGTTGGGCACCTGTAGTTCTCACTGAAGCATATAGTACCCAAGCTTGATAAAAACACATCTACTGGAGGCTGCCGCTTATCACATGATTTTACAACCATTCTTAAAGTTTTCTAAAGTGTAATCTTATCAGCTATATAAAATGTATAGATAGCTCCATTCTCAAGTATGCCTTATTTACCTTAAATTCCTGAGCTTACAAATAGCTTGGCAAAAATACACCCCAAATCAAAAACACTCCCACCATTAGAAGTAGCTAGCTGGAAGGGATCCGAGACGAAAAAAGTGAATTGTTTTGGTTTGTTTCTAGAAGTTACAGATTAGAATCTAAAACACAGAAGGGGAGTGGATTACACAGGATCATATTTTAAACCACTGGTTCCCAACACGGTGCCTGTGGGCGTCATGGCACCCGCCGGGCCATTTATATGCACCCGCCGAACAATCTGGGCTGGCCCCGCCCCCAGGCGCATGGCACATGCACAGTGCCGGCCCTGGGCACGTGGGGCATGGGTGGCCCCTGCCCCGGGGTTGCGGCACATGCCGGTGCCAGCCCTGGGTGCCTGGTGCACTGGCAGCCCCTGCCCTGGGGTGCCGGTCCCGGGCTCATGGGCAGCCTCTGCCCCAGGGTCATGGCACATGCTGGTGCTGGCCCTGTGCACGAGACACATGGGCGGCCTCTGCCCTGGGGTCACGGCACATGCCAGTGCCAGCCCCGGGTGCGCGGTGCATGTGCTGGCCCCACCCCCGGGCGCATGGCCCGTGAGCGGCCCTGCCCCCGGACACGCGGTGCGTGAGCGGCCCCGCCCCTGGGTGCCCAGCAGCCCCAAAAGGTTGGGGACCACTGTTTTAAACTTTGGAAGGCAGAAGTGGGATGTGGAAAGGCTGGTGGGGGGCAGGGGGAGAGGGAGCAGATGGAGTAACCAGTGGAAAGAATGAACCCCACCTGCAATTTACACTACAAGCTGTAGAAGAGCTGCAACAGAGGGAATTCACACCCTGAGCAGATGAAGCTAGGACAGAAAAACTACTGTTTAGATGGAACTATGTTGATAGTTGATTGCTTCTATTGGCATAGCTAATGTCATTCAGGAGCTGGTATTACCATGCAGCAGATATATGCCTTCTGTGTATACCCACAGGCTACATCTACACTACAAAGTTTTTGCACAAAAATGGCTGTTTATGCACAAAAACCCGCAGAGTGTTCACACCTCAAGTGTGTTTTTGCACAAGAAAATTTAGAGTAGAATGGCAGAACAGAGGACTTTTTGTGGTATAGGTATACCTGTTTCTACGAGGAATAACTCCTTTTTGTGCAAGAGTTCTTGTGCAAAAAGGTGTGTGTGGATGCTCAACACGTTTCTTGCGCAAAAAGAGCCTATAAGAAAAAGCACAGGTGCTCTGATGGCCATTCTGAGTGTGGCCATGCAGTGTGGATGCTCTCTTGCACATAAGCACATTGCTTCTGCGATGCGCTTTTGTAGTGTGGATGCACTTTTGCACAAGAAGTTTTTGCGGAAGATCTCTTCTGCAAAAAGCTTCTTGTACAAAAAGCCTGCAGTATAGACATAGCCACTATGTCTACACTCAGGGACCTCACCAGTATAATTATAACTGGTATGAGCCACATCAGTAGAGGCTGTGTAGTGTAGGCTAGTCCTTCAGTCAGTCTTCCAAGTTGGGTGGAGATGATGATTACATCTCTTCAGTCACTCTTACATGCTCTGTGCAAACCTATATACTTACCGTATTTTCCGGCGTATAGGGCGACTGGGTGTATAAGACGACCCCCTATCTTTTTAATTAAAAGATAGGGTTTCATCTTATACCCCAGCGCCCCTCCGCCTCCTTTGCTCCCGGTGTCCCTGGTCTGCTGGAGATGGTCCCCAGCAGACCAGAGGCACCGGGAGCAAAGCCGCCAGGAGCGCCTGGGATGCCCCCCCGCCGGCTTCCCCCGAGGCTTTCCAAGCCGCGGAGGGGCTCCGGCCGGGGGGGGAGAC